CAAGTGTACAGCATTAAAATCATGTATCCCAACATAATACTTGAACGCACTAATGTCGCCAAGAAGCAAGCAATTGATAGAAGTTATTACTGTGTAAATGGTGTAAAGGACAGTAGAATCAAAGGTATTATAGGGATTAGGAATTCGCATTATTGAAAAGGACAGCCTTAAACCCTTTTCAAAGGCTGCACTCAAATCTTTCTTGAGGAACGTAAACCTTTGTTTTCAATTATTTGGAGAACTCTATGCTTTAATGACTCAAATTTCAACTAGAATATAACTCAATGGCCAATTACGGCATCAGACGGAATTCATACAGCCACTTTCTAAGCTCCCATGAACATACCAGCCGAATTTGAAACCAATCCGTTCAGTTTTACTTTTAGTTTTACTTTTAAGTTTTCAGCTCGCGCTTTCAAAGGCTATGTTGCGCATAGACAAATCTAGATCGATTATTGCCGCATCATATGAAATTGCATTTTCCTTTCTAGACCGAGAAGGAAATAATATTTTGGGATGAAATCGGTAGCCAACTGGTTTATTGAAAACATGCTATCACTTCATCCTGACAAAACTAAATCCATGGTTTTTGGAACACCTCAGAAACTGCGGCATGCAGGAAAGAACATCACTGTAACTGATGGGTCTAACTCGTTCGAACAGGTTAACCTTTTTACATATTTAGGTGTCACTATGGATTCCTCCCTAACCTGGTCAGGACACGCCGAGAGAGTTGTAAAGAAGCTCCTTGCTGGCCTTAGTGCCTTAAGCCGGGCTAAACCCTTTGTTACTAAGGAGATTCTTCAAGTCATGTGTCGTACCTTGTTATACACACACCTAGATTATTGTGATACCTCATGGTTACTATCGCTTTTACACTGTAACAAATCAAAGACACTGCAATTGTCTAGATTGTTAAATCGTGCAGCCAGGATTATCACAGGGCGAACACTCAAAGATCGTGTTCCTACAGAAACCCTGCTAGCTGAGGCTGGTTTGGTACCACTGGCTGATAGGGTAAAAGTGAGTACGCTAGTAGCTGTACAGAAGGCAGTTCGCCACAAAGCTCCTGCCTACATGACAAATATGTTTAAATGGCTATCACCCCCAGTGTTCAGAGTTCGCACACGCACTGCCATGAAACAGCTCCTCAGTTTCGACCCTTACATGCTGGACACTCCAAAGGC